GAACTGACATCGGGAATGAATAAAATGGAAAATAACTGCGGTTACAGTTTGAGTCTGATCTAACTTTGACGGAAAGCAGACAGGCCGCTAATTAAACAACTGATTAGGCTCACGCCGAAGAAAGGTCAAGACGCATTTGTTACAAGTTCTGCTTTGGCTGGCTGGGATGAAAACGACTCCTTGATTAATAAGTTCATTTTCTCGCGAGCTCGATCGACCACCGCAAAACAGTTTTTCCCATGGCATGGGCAAAGAAACCAGAATGTTCAGTGCTACAGCACCTAATGGCTTTTCTGCGTTCCATTAATTCGATTTTAAAAGCTCGATAGGTTTTCTCCATATAAAAACCATCACAATTATTGCATGCAATTTGATTTTAGTATCAGAATTGGGCAAGAACCAAGCTTCTTACAGAACAGGATTGCTAAGGTGTGATCCCTGTCAAAAAACATTAAGAGCGTAGTTTCGAAATATCGCCTAACGTCCTCGGATATGCCTATAATCAAAAGAAAAGGAAAAACTAAATTTGGGGCAAATAAATTTAATTACAGAATCATTTAAATTCTGACATATCCGCTTTAAAGAAACATTCATGAAGGAAGCTTGATTTCACCTCTGAGCAGTCGGTCATCTATGTAATAACTTTGATGACGCAAGCATTTCATGAACCTGATGAAAAAAATTTAGGAGTTTTTAGAGTTTAGGAGACGATGAAGTGTTCCGGTAAAGATTAGAATAATCTAATTTTCTATATACCGTTAAATAAAATCTACCATAGGTGTCTCGTTTAATAAGAACATCAAGAAACGCCTTCTGGTTATCGTATTCGTATACTGAAGCGCATATTATGTGGTTATCAGCATCTTGGCAATTTATATATTCATGCAGTATGTGAAAGTAATAATACCATGCAAGATTAAAATACAATCTGTATGTCTTAAATAAAGTACAGGTATAAGATGAAGTGAACAAAGAGTTAGGGCATTAGATAACAAATGACTCAAGTAGACTGCTGTAATCCTGCACTTAGAAGAGAAGCTCCTAAGATACGACAAATTTTTTTTCATGGTGCTGCCAATTATGGGATCAGAGGACCTACTAGCTTTCCGTCGCTCACATATCGGTATGAAATTAGATATGATTTACATATTTACGATCCGGGTAAAGAATCTTGTTGAGAAAAAATGCTTAAATGCTTCTAACTGTATAACCGACGCTGTGTGCAGAGCACGGATCATGATCCGTTTAGAACTAAAAGCTGAATGAAACAAAACTTACCTTGACAGAAAGAACAGCACCAAACGGACCAAACATCTGCCATACTGTGGCATCTTCGATGTCTGGAGGCAAATTGTATATGAACAACGCTATACCCTGAGCGGGTTGAGACGATATGGACGACGCACCGGCAGCGGCAACGCTCAATAGCGAGGAGGTCAACAAGTCACTACCCAACGGGGAGTAGCTACAGTCAAGGCATAACTTATACACGGAAAAGGACGTCATCGAGGGCACCTACCGAAATCTGTTAGTCGCCGCTGCGTGATGAATCGGGCCGGGAAATCGACGCGCTTGCACTTGAGCCTGAGCAGTTGCGTTCAGAAGGGCCAGAGGAACCAAGGCAGAAGCGGCCTAAACGATGCGACTATATGATTGCAGCTGAATAAACAGACAGAAAAGCACACCGGTATGGATACCTGGAGAACAGATTTCTGGCTGTTCGACGACGGGTTATTAGCGAATTTGACGTTAATTGGCTCAGTAGCGCCAGGAGGCGTGAAGGCATTCAGCCTAATGATCGCTTCTTCAGCTTCCTCTTTCTTGTCGAACCGCACAAAACCAACGCCTTTGGACAAGCCTGAGACAACCATCATCATCCGATTGCCATAATATCAAAAGCATACTGATAGACGCCAACCTGTCACTGGGTCGCACAAAATGCGAGATGTTATAATTTTGCCGTAGGGACTGAACAACTGTTCCAAGTCTGACTGCTTCATGGTTTTTGGCAGACTGCTCACATACAGATTGGCACCCTTTATATTCTCCGAACTAGGGCGAGCAAAGGATACCTGAAATTGCCACTGAAATTTTGGAACAAACGCAATAATTAAGGAAACGGTAGTAAATTTCCTTTAAAAGTAAACTGTGAAGAGGGACAATGGGTACACAATATACAGCAAGAAATTGTTGCATAAACTCACCATTAATGTAACTGATTAACGACTTCACTAACAACTTCAAACATAACCGTATGATCTGTATTCCAAGCTTTGAATTCAGCCTTTAAATTTTGACGTGAGGTAAAAACAAAATTTACGTATCAGTTAAAACCCATAACCCAGATCGAAAACCATTTTAAAAACCTTATTTCTAAAAACAGAAAAGAGAACGTAACGAGCAAACAACAATTAATTTACAGTCAAACGAGTAATCTTTACAGTCTTCATATCATCATTATCAGCAGTGCCTGATAAAATGAGGTTTTCGCATAGCTAAACAATCCAGTTCAATCTTCATTTTCTCACTAAAGAAGCGCAACAGACGATGGGATAGTCCATGAGAGATATTTTCTCATTTCAGTTATGTGCTTTTGAGCCTCGACACTGTATTCTTTAGAACAGTCCGACGCAACCTAAAGGTGTTGCGGCAAATGAAACAGTACTCAGTTGTCCACCTCTTCCTGATTTTCGTATTTTTGTTAATAATGAAGGGTATTAAGAAAACCCAGGGTGGTCACTGAACAATCACCAACAACGACTAAGCAATTAAGCAGAAATAAATCAGAAGCTAACAAAGCGATCAAGCATCGGGCAGGAAACACAACGTCACGGCAGACTTCGTTGAGACTGACCAATCAAATATATAAATGCATGCTATGAGAAAAAAAAGTTCTTAAAATCAAACTAAAAGGCTAAAGTGAAATATATTCAATGAGCTTTTACACACGATTAACATAACGAAAGTCGAATATACCTTGATGAGTTTTGTCTGTAAACGAAGACCATTCAGAGTGTCGATCGCCTTTTGGGCGTCCTCTGCGCGAACATAGTTAACAAAACCATAACCTAGACTCTGA